GCATAACGCTTCATGAAACAGTCCATCACAGAGAATCAGGCCAAATGAAAAGATAAATCAAACTATAGAGTAAAAAAATTCACTAAAATAACCTTAGTGGCTGGTTGTGGCAGCGGCACGACCGCCCTTATCCCAGAAAGATGCGGCTAAATGGCGTAAGACGCTACTGGTGGGACTAAAGGAGATAAATCGATAACGCTCGCTTATAGCGATAACGTCCGCCTCCGAAAGGGCGGAGCTGCTGAGCCGGAGGTGATAAGAGATAACTTAGTGAGTGGAGAATCCAGAAGTGGCCGGAGCATGGCTACAATTGGTTCGAGGCTTCCAGTACACCTCAGTGAATTGAGTGGTGAGCAAACACACGACCTCGGACGGGAGTCAAACCCGCGTTTCATCCATACCGGGGACGCGTGCTACCATTACACCTACGAGGTTATTCACACACCACCACTCGTTTCTTAAATATCTCTATGGTAGCTGTCAGCCACCTACCTCAAAAAGGTTTGGTAGGGTATGCGATTACGTACATATCGATTTCGATACAGCTATCATCGAGATATTGAAGAATGAGTGGTGGGCGCGCGTTTCCTGTATGGGATGAAACGAAGGTTCAACTTTCGTCTGAGGTCGTATTTTTGCTCACCACTCAATTCTCTTAGGTGTATATGATACATCATAGCATAGCAAAAAATGCAGTACAAAAACCAGAAATCTGGAATATCGCTTCCGATAGAATAATAAGTGATGATATTTTCGTAAAACGCTTAATGACAGTGGCAGCCTAAGAAAAACTGCAAGATCAATATAATAGGGGTGTAATAGTATTGACAGAAAATGTTTATGTCAAGGCATGAGAGTATCTTTAAAAGACACAAATATGAAAGTTCTTAATTTCAGATGAGCCGTTAGCCATCAATGTGTCTAAATACTAATATATTCATGGTCATAAAAACATTAAGCTCAAGATTGTTGCACAGGCCGCATAGCGATATGATTAATTCTTTCAAATTTCCAAAACATGAGTTAGATTTTAGACATTTTGTAAATGTAGCCTTCTAAGAAGCCCCAAAGTGGAAGGCAAATCTCATAAAATATCTAAGTACCTTCGAGATCGTTTACGATAGCCACTTTAGTAAACTTTTTCTCAAGTTCCATCCTTTAGCAGATTTGTTACAATTGTGTTCCATACACTTAAAGTAGATAAACAATGTTGCATCTTCCACAGTCGCTCTATCAGCTGTCAGTCCAATAACGGCAGACTGCAAATTGTAATCCTCACAAAAAATTGAGCCTAAAAAGCTTCGGTCTGATAAAAAAGTCAGGTGATTGCTCATGAAGAAGAGCTAGAAAGTAAAACGTGGTTGAACTGCGCTTTAGGCAAAATCACACCTTTACCATTAGTGTTCCACCATGCAAGTTAATACAAGCAAAATACAGCTAACTAGAGTTAGAAGCGATTTTCAAAAATTTTCACTATCTTCAGGATGATGGTGAGCCTGTTCCACTAAGTGCTAGAACAAGCATATAAGCAGTCCTCTAATTTTATGGCTCGTGCCATATTGACGATAACAGAGTAGGACCTGACCAAGAATATGAAGTTTTGAGTTTCACACAAGATGTGGGACCTGGTGAATAAAATGGTGCAAATCTACGCGTTTTCTCAGTTATTTTTGCCGTTGTGAACGAAAATTTCATGCCATCGAAGTAAATAAACAGTTTAGCAGCGCAAATGCCAGTATTTTCGGGTCAGATTTATACTTTTCTCTGATTATTTCTCCTCTTTGGTGAAGCAAGAATTTCTCTTTATTATTATATGACCCATCATTACATGTATCATAGTATGCGATTCACAGCATTTTTCACTCATTTTATTTACTCGCACTGATTATGTATTGTCTCCGATCTTACTTTGCTCCTTCGGTTATTCGATATCCTATTCGTCTTCGTATTCGGCCCTATTGCATATTCGGCATACTGGGTGAGGATGCTGGGTAGGATTATATCACGCTACGACTGCCGTCAAAGTCTAATGTGATTGATTCTGCTTGGAAACCCAGGATAAAACTGTGCGAGCGTTCTTACTTTTTGCATAGTGTTTTTTTCGGTGTCATAAGAATGAGGAGGTCTGTATTAGAATACCAATCTGGTAAGAGGGAGAATTCAAGAGAGGGAGAATGTTTATTTGACTAAATTAACATAGTTTTCCCATAGCCTTTTCCCCATATATCATGCTTTAAAGAAATTAGTATGTATTCCACTTTTCTTGAACAAATTTTCTTATTTGCAAAAAATGGCGGTAATTTTAAAATAACTCTTAGTCAGAGCCTAGATAACTGGAAGGAGTTCTATACAGGGTGCGCAGAAAGTTCTGATAATTTTTCAATTTTTTAATTTTAGCATTGGTATAATATTTTTTATTAAGTAGTTCCAATGAGTTCCTTGCTCATTTTTGGTTTAAGATCTGCTTTATTTATTCGTCTATTTTTCGGTGTACTCAAATCATCAATCGGCAAAATTAACCTATGGCAGTAGTCGAGTTACTCAAAGACGGGAACGAAAACGGCCGGCATCGTCAAAATCGACTGATTTCAGACCGCCATGAATCTACAAAACCGTGAAAGCGTTTCAAGGAAACGGGAGGGAATGTGGATCGTTCTTGAAAATGGCATCCAACCACTGTGCTAGTCCGAAGAATACTAGAGAGAATCTGTTGCCCAATACAGAGAGTTCGATACGCGAAATGAGTTGGTATGCAAAGTATCGCCCAGTGAGGGGTTCGAAATGTCAAAAAATAAGTTCAAGCACCGCAGTTACAAAATGCTCGTATTATTTGTGGATAAAAGATGGAAGAGAAGCTTCTTTCAAAGGTTCGCCGCATGATACGCTTGACGGTCGTATGTCGAAGGCCCTTTAAACGGATAAGAAGTAATTCACTATCAAATCACACCATAATCGTTAGAATGAAAGTGAACTTCTCAAGAATGGTCAGCAAAAGTCTGCATTAGCAAAAATCATGAGCAGCATTTTTTCGGCTTTCATAATGGTCTGATCCAGCATCTGTGCTAGCCGTGAGACGGCGATGACCTTCATCAATAGAAAAGCCAAAATCAGCGCTGTTAGCTATCAGCAGTAAGTTTTGCTGGGAGCACTGGAGCCTCGAATATCAACACATCGGCGCTCTGGCGGATTTATGCCTTAGCAGGCCTGGGCTCTTGAAATTTGACCTGCTCAGTTTCCAGGGTTTTGGCGCGAGGATATTTAGACGTCAAACTCGCTGGATCTTAGTCCCAGCGCATAACTCCACATGGTCCATACTGAAGGAGAAATTCTCGGTAATCGCTGCATGGAGTAGGAGCACTTAAAACGGTTTTGAGACAAGGTTGGGACCATACTGCGGTGGAAAAATGTGGTGCATCGTCCAAAATGGTGGCAAGCGAATTCATAAATACATAGAGTCCAGAGGATTCAATTTTGAGGATTTGTTATGAACTTTTTTGTTCATTGTTATAATTTTTGATCTTATAAGCGTAAATACTCTTCTTGAATGGATTCTTTCGTTCACACAGCATAATTTTACTGCTGAGATATCTGAAAAGATTGATCGAAAATTTTGAGCGTCCGCTATTAATGTGCTATGACAAATGTCCACGGATCTGCGTCTTTGAAGGATCCCGAAGGATGGTGGCGAGGGCGCGTGAGAGCGTCCCCAGGTGGTGGATAGGAGAATAAATGCAAACCAAAAGCGACCGTGTGCTTCTCGGAGACGCAGATGGATTCAGGGTAATGAGCTCCGTGCTTCTGCAGCGCCGATTTGACAAAACTCTATTTCTACGAGTCAAGTCGGCTCAAAAGCCTGCAATCAAGCGGCTGGGAAGCACATGGGAGGCGCTTAGGAGTTGCCTCCTACGAATAAGCTCCTCCCGCTCCTTCGAAGAGAGACTGCGAAGCTACTCGTAAGTGCTCAGCTCCTACGTCTAGAAAATAGCAGGCTATAAGCTTGGCATCAAAATGCTAAAAACAGTAAGCAAACATGGAGCTTTATTCCCCTGACCCCAGAAGAGCCTTGGTACGGCAGCGCCAAGAAGGATGACTTTGGAGAGGCTACTGAAATCTCGGGCCGGACTAGGCTGCCAAGATCAAAACGGACTAAAATGACGATTTGTACCTATAATGCACAATACTTGCTCATGCATCCGCTGTAGAAGATTATTGAAACAAGCAAGAAGGATAAGATATGGCGTCATTGGCCTGGCTGAGACGAGAAGACGCCACTCTTTTCACGCTGTTTATGAACACCGACGAAGAACTGCTTCTTAGCGATTCACATGCACTCACACTACATGCGTTCGTAGAGGGGGCGACGGCGCTGGGGTCTTTGCCAAATCGAATTTGACAGTGAACATCGATTCATTTGAACAACTAATATCTCGTATCGGACGATTACGGTTAAAATGATGCGATTCAATGTCGGCTTTGACTTTCTTCTTGCTTACGCACCAACATCGAGCTATGACGAAGACAAAGTCGGAGCGTTCTATATGAACCTCGAAAGATTTTTCAGAAAAGACCATATATTCTTTAAGGTCATTGTTGGTGATATTAACTCGAAAAATTGGACCTTGGACAACGTCTGAAGAACGTCACTTTGGGACCCACGAATTAGAATGGAATGAACAGGGTGAGAGCCTATACGAATTTACTATGACGACCCATACCATTCATGTTAACCCACAATTTTAATACCCTCACTCTTAACGGTGGACGTAGAAGTCTCCCAATGAAGAGTGCTATAGACGAAATAGACCTACATCTTAGTAAAATCGAAGGTTTTGCCTGACCGATGCCGCTGTTGTTCCTATGTTCTACACAGGATCAGGACCATCGCTTTCTTCGCGCAACGTTCCGTTTTTCGCAGAAAGGAGAGAAAGCCGCAAAATTCAAACAACCAAGTCCTAGAACTAGTACGAACTGGGATGTATTGAAATCATTAGTCGGCTCCCGAAAGGATACCGATGTCGACAACATCGACGAAGAATACGAGCGGCTCGTTAAAGGTGAAGAGACGTTTGTCCCCGACAGACACTTGAGCTAATACGTCGACGTGGAATCGCACGAGTTGAAGGTAACCGAAATCTTACGACGAACTTGCGAATCTGCTGCAGAAAAGCAATAAAAGAAGACCTCAACGAGAGACGAGCAGCAGTTTTGGTAGAAGCTGCAGAAGCTAGGAAGAGCTGTTTGCATTCCTCAACGAAGCTTCGCCAATTATAAAACCAAGATGTTTGCAATCCGATGCCTGACCGAGACACTTGCAGCTTTCAGAAAGGCAATGGAGAAAATCAAGCATCAGTACTTCTCGGATCTCTTCTCTAGCCATGTCCTCTTACCGTCATATAAATTAAAAGAGGATGAACGTGTCGTTCCACCGGTCCTCC